TATGTTGACTGAGGTGGGTCTGAATTCCACACTGCCTAAGAAAGCAAACTGAGCACAGGCATCCTTGTACTCATTCTCTGCTCCTAGCTGTGGGTAGGACCAGTTGCTTCAAATACCTGCTTCAGCTTCTCCAGACTGTAATCCAGAATTGTGAGCCTTATAAACTCTTGCTCCCTTAAAGCTCCTTTTGTTGAGTTGTTTTATAGTGGGGGCTTGACCGCAGCCCAGTTGGGCCCCAGGCCCCACAGGGTCTCTGTGAGTTGCTTGTCAGCCAATAACCACAGGTGCATCCTGTTTACAGCCCCAGCCTTGCCCCATTGGCATCAACCTTTAATTATGAAAACACACTCTTACACCTAGAGGATCTGTATATAAAGATACTCCCTCCTTGGAATAAACAACACACACACACTCTCTTAGCACAAACGGCCAGATGTCTTGTCTTTCATTTAAATCTCCAGGGTTTCGCCTGATACATTACATCCTCAGAGCTGTGACCCTCTACATCCTCTGCCCTCCTGCAGTTGTTACTACATATAAGGTTCTGAAAGGCTAACTATGGTACTGAGTGTTTGTCTGACCAGAAATGAACTGCTCTATCCCAGTCACTAGAATGCTCAGACTGGAGTAGTAATTTACACAGGTTCCCTGTGATGACTAAAGAAACTCAATAAGGAGCCAGGCATCATCCCTTAAGGGCTGTTGACCTTTCGCTCCGGAATAAATGGGAGCTCCTAGTCTCCTGCAGGTGAGATAACAGGGTTGTTAGATATTAAACCACTGCTTTTGCTTCTGTAAAACTTGAAACTACTATGGGAAAGGGATGGTCTTTTTATTACTATATAGAAGGAGAGAAAAAAACAAACGGAGAGACATAGAACAGTTTTCGTGCCCAGCTATGGATTCCACTGGTAGCTGTGATGCACCCTTTAAAAATCCCATATCACCCCGCCTCCAAATAGCATGTTGCCGTCTGCCAGCAGAAATTTGAATTGAGTCTAGGTATGTGGTCTTCCCAGTGGATTTGAATGTCTCAACATTATCACAGCAATAGGAAGAAAACTAGGGCAGGTACTATTAATAGTCACATGAAAGGCATAATAGTTCTAACTTGGTGAGCCCAAACTACACATGAGACACTATCCAGTAGACATCAATGTTTGCTGAGTGAATATTATCAGAAATCTCTGAACACCAAGAAAAAACATTTTTAAAAGGATAATAAATTTAATCAACATTTTTGTTTGTTTGTTTTTCGAGACAGGGTTTCTCTATGGCTTTGGAGGCTGTCCTGGAACTAGCTCTGTAGACCAGGCTGGCCTCGAACTCACAGAGATCCGCCTGCCACTGCCTCCCAAGTGCTGGGATTAAAGGCATGTGCCACCAACGCCCGGCTCAATTTAATCAACATTTTATGTGACAGAAGAAACCAGAAATGAAGATTCAGAGAAAGTGTCCCTTTTAATGCTTAGATTTAAAAAATGAACAGTCATTCAGACATGATTAGAAAGGGCTTGGGAGATAGTTCACCAGTTAGGAGCACTAGGTGGTCTTCCAGAGGACTCAAGTTCAATTCCCAGCACCTATATGGTGGCTCACAACCATCTGTACCTCCAGTCCAAGAGATCTGATGCACTCTTCTGGCCTCTGAGGATACTAGGTACACACATGGTGCACAGACACACATGTAAACAGAACATAATGCATAAGAGTAAATTAATTTAAAAAATAAGATAAAAAGGTTATATCTAATGGACTTACGAAAAAATTCAGCCAAGTCTGTCCAGCTTGGCCTCCAATGCCACTCTTTCCTTTTGGGTTTGGGGCAGGAACCGGTGTGAGGGCTGGCAATCTACTCTCCTAATAGGTCACAGAAACTCCTTATGGCCAGTTCTTACAAAGAAGTAGAGGGTAGGACAGAATGGTATTTCCAGGTTCATGGAAGAGACAGGAAGGTAAGAGTGGAGAGAGACTCTCAAGGTGTTTTGGGTCTTGAGTCACCAAGAATGCTGACAGTACAACACATTACAGGTATTCAAATTGTCAGTGAGTTTGTTTTCACTCCTTATCCGGGTCCTAGGACAAATCCTAAATCCCTACAGTGGCCTTCAGTGACCCTTGCACATGCTCCCTTAACAACTACCTCAGAACATTAAGGTTTCCCTGCACATACCACATTTTGTAACTTGCCAGTCTCTTCCCCTAACAGGCTTACACAGTACAGAAAGTGTAGTTACCAAACAGTACACTGATATGATTAAAATGAAAGCCAGTTTTCCTATTCAAATAATTTGCAATAAAAGCACCAGAAAAAAATACAGAATTTCCAATAAAAAATCATCAAATTTACAAATGCCAACAATCCAAGGTAATGTCACTTTTCAGTAATTCCAAAAGTATTGTGGGGCTGGAGAGATGGCTCAGAGCACTGGCTGCTCTTCCGGAGGTCCTGAGTTCAATTCCCAGCAACCACATGGTGGCTCACAGCCATCTGCAATGAGATCTGGTGCCCTCTTCTGGCATACAGACATACACGGAGTGCTGTATATATTATAAATAAAATCTTTTTTTTAAAAAGTATTGTTTAGTTAATCTATAGTATCTCTGGTATTCTATAAAGAAGTCAGTCTAAACAGGCTGCTTAACAACTGCAGGAGGGCAGAGGATATAGAGTCACAGCTCTGAGGCCAACTTCTTTGTGTGCCACTAGCAAGTCTAATGTATCCGGTGAAAGCCTGGAGATTTAAGCGAAAGACAAGATGGCCAGCGTTTGTGCTAAGAGAGTGTGCTGTTTATTGCAGGGAGAGAGCAGCCTTATATATAGACTTACAGCACAGTGGAAAAACCCCAGGTTTAAGTGTTTTCATAATTAGAGGTGGAAGCCAATGGGGAAGGGCTGGAGCTGTAAACCAGGACTAGAAAACAGGATGCACCTGTGGTGATTGGCTGACAAATAACTCACAGTGACCCCGTGGGGGCTGGAGCCCAACAAACTTTGCCTGTGCTTCAAGATCTTGTCAAGAAAAACAACTAAACAAAGGAACAAGAGAATTGTGAACACTTTTAACTACAGCATCTTATTTAACATATTAACAAAGGCAAGCAGTTCCCACTGGCAGGCAGTAGCACACGGTTAATGTGGTTGAAACTGGTCTCTACATTAACTTAAGTCACAATAAAACAAAATACAATCACATACAAACTGCAAATTTAACCAAAGATTAAAAGCAAGAGAAACTGTGTTGGTACTGATTCTGTTATGTTTCTAGTTCCTAAACACTACAGCACAAGAACCGTCTACATAGCACTTACTTTGTAATAGACATTTTAAATTACTTAGAAATGATGTGAAGTATACACAGGAGGATAATGCAGAACTTATACACAAAATACAAATATAAGCATCTTCTGATTTTAGTACATCAGGGAGTCTTGAAACTGAGAATGGAGTTCAATGGTAGAACACAAAAGGCATGGTTTCACAATAGTCCAGAAAAATGGGTAAGAACTGATCTGTCAAAACATGGGCTATTGAAAAGTCAAGTTGGAAGTAGGCCATTGCTATACCGGGGATGAAGAGGGAGTAGTCGTGTCAACAGAGCTAAGAAGGCAAAAGAACAATCTGTGGCTGTCTCTCCAAGTCTTACTCTTGCAGTGCTAAGAGTGTTCAGTGCCATCACAATCCCCGCAAGGTATACAAGAAGTGATCTAAGTTACCATCAATAAGAGCAAATCATGACACATTATGGCAACTGTTATCTCACAAAGAAATTTTAATGAATCTAACTACAATACATATTCCATTCAGAAGTATGGTCCACACAATCAGATAACTTAATGTCACAGACCAGACAACATCTCAGTTAACAATACACCACATATGCACCAGGCTATGTAGTCTTAACTCAATGTTGTTAAGACTTATATAAACCGCCCTAACCAACTTCTTAGCAAGACAAATTTTATGATCATCTTAGTCACTATTTTGCTGTGGAGACATCATGACCGTGGAAACTTACAAAAGAAAGTATTTAACTGAGGCTTAATTACAGTTTCAGAGAGTCAGTACATACCACCATGTCAGGGAATATGGTGGCAAGCATGGTGCTATAACAGAAGCTGAAAGCTACACCCTGATCCACAAGGAGGGAGGGAGGGAGGAAGGGAGGGAGGGAAGGAAGGAGGGAGGGAGGGAGGGAAGGAGGGAGAGGGAGCAGAGACCCAGCCTGGCCCTGCACTTTGGAAACCTCAAAACTCCTCCCCTATCAGTGACACCTCCTCCAACAAGGCCACACCTCCTAATCCTTCTCAAACAGTGCCACTCCCTGGTGACTATGCATTCAAATCTATGAGCCTATGGGGGCCATTCAAATAAGTTTGCTGGGCTATAAAGAATGTAAATCACTACAACTTAAGCCACCTAAGTCACAGTATTTACCCACTGTTTAGGCATGTGTTATGTGCCGGACTGACCCAAGACTTTCCCAGAGAGCCTGCGGAAAGGACAAAGGGAACTAGTTTTGTCCCTTGCCTAAGAGCAAACTTGGTAAAGGGCCAAGGGCCTCAAAGGAGTTAAGGTTTCAGTTCCTAAGAACATGACTCTTCCACCCTGAAAACCACTAGTCTCAAGGATGCTGAATGCTCAGTTTGACTAGCTTCCAGCTGACTTCTCCCCATTCTATGATAGCTTTCTCCTGACTGCCATTTCCACCTGCAAATCCTAAGATGCTGTCCTTAATAAACTTGCTTGGCATAAAACATAACTTACGCAAGACCTCCAGACCTCAGCTTTCCTCTATTTCCTTTATTTTTCATCCCCTCATCCTCTCTCTCAGGAACCTGTCACTTAAGAAGTGACCTGCTTGCTGGTCCCAGTCAAGTAGAATTTAAGTACACTTGTCAGGATTTGTAACAGTCTTTTCTGGCATAGTGAACAGCAAACTTCAGTCACAATGCCTAGCCCAAGCTGGCCAACAACTCATCACACAGCAGAGACTAACCTCATATTTGTGATCCATAGTCCTCAGTCTGAGAGTCGTGATATTACTGGCCGATGCCAACGTGGTCAGCTTTTAAAAAAGAGAGAAAGAAAAAGTGTGTGTGTGTGTGTGTGTGCGTGTTTTGAGACTGGGTCTTACTACATAGCTCTGAATGGCCTATGACTCACATTATAGACCAGGCTAAGACTCAAACTCAGAGCTCTTCATCACTCTGCCTCCCAGGCGTTACGATCAGAAGCATGCACCATCATGCCTTGCTCAACTACTTTAAAATAATAAGCCAACTATTAGCAGGATTTATAATAAAAAAGAAAAATAGAAAGCCACTATCTTATGGAGGGGTTGAAAAATATTAATGCTAGTATGTAAGGACTTTTGTAATTTCAGAAAAGCAGCACATGAGAGTGAGCTGCCATGTGACATGGTTCAAGTAGAGGGATTTTTTTTTTTTAGCTCTTGTAGACCAGGCTGACCTCGAACTCACAGAGATCCACCTGCCTCTGCCTCCCGAGTGCTGGGATTAAAGGTGTGTACCACCACCGCCCGGCTCAAGTAGAGGGATTTTTATAAAGGCAAAAGGATCGTAGGGAAATGGGAGTGGGGAGACCAGTTTCCATGGACAGCAGCAGCAGGATAAGGGGGTGTGGGGGGGCAGACAGACAGACAGACAGACTGACAGAAGGATGGCAGGTAGGCAGGGCCCTTTTTAAAAGGGAACATAGTGAATATGTGCAGATGGTGCTCTCGATGGCAGCAACTGAGGGAATATCCTGTCAGAACTCCAAAGGCAGGCCAGTAAAATGCCTAAATACTAACAAGGATATACTGTCATTTCTAAATGAATTGTGTTATTAATGTAACCTATAAAAAAACAAGTTCTTTCAAACCTTGAATCTTTTTAAGGGTTTATTTTGATTATCTGTGTATGAGTTTTTTACGTTCATGTAAGCGTGTGCACTGCTTAGATACCCTGTAACTGAAGTCACAGTCAGTTGTTAGCCACTGTCTGGGTGCTGAAATTAACACAGGCCCTCTCCAACATTAGCAGGTACCATTAACCTCTGAGCCATCACTCTGGCCCTGCCTTAAATTATTTTTTAAAGGTCACAAATGGTTTTTGAGACCATGTGTCTCTGCTGTCTGCAGAAAGCACATCCATCCTGCTTTCAGAAAGCCAAGGCCTACTATGGAACCTTCAAGGACATTTTTTTTTTTTTGGTTTTTCGAGACAGGGTTTCCCTGTGGCTTTGGAGGCTGTCCTGGAACTCGCTCGGTAGACCAGGCTGGTCTCGAACTCACAGTGATCCGCCTGCCTCTGCCTCCCGAGTGCTGGGATTAAAGGCGTGCGCCACCAACGCCCGGCTTCAAGGACATTATTTTACATACTCTATTTTATTACCTATTTATTTACTTATTTTGGTTTTTCAAGACAGGGTTTCTCTGTAGCAGCTTTTCTTGTCCTGGAACTTGCTTTGTAAACCAGGCTGGCTTTGAACTCAAGAGATCTGCTTGCCTCTGCCTTCAGTGCTGGAATTAAAGGCATGCACCACCAACTACGGCCTACTTTGTTACCTTCTGCTATCCAACTCTCTTAAGTAAAAATACAGAAATAGAAAAAGCAACAGAACCATAAGTTAGTTCTTAGAAAAGATCAAGACTTTACTAAGCTGACCATGAAAATATTTCAATGGTAAAATCAAAAACAAAATAGAAACACTATCAATCTTACACCAAGAGAATATAAACAAGTGACTAACGCCAGTATGACCAAAATTGATTCAGTAGTAAGTCCTAATCAACTATAAAGACGTTAATTAATCCAGCACTGAGGAAGCTAAGGCAAGTAGATCTCTGTGAGTTGAAGGTCAATTTGTTCTACATAGCAAGCTCCAAGCCAGCAAAGGCTATGTATAAAGGAAATGCTTATCTTGGCTCATGATTTCAAGAGAAACAGTTCATGATTGTCAGGCTCCACAGTTTGAGGCTTATAGTGAAGCATATCACAATAGCTCAAACGCAAATACAAAGTCATAGGAAGCAGAAAGAAATGTGGAATGTGGACATAGCTCCTGAAGACACACCCCAATGACTCAGCACCTTAAGAATGCCCCACCTCCTCAAGATTCCAGCACCTACGACTGGTGTCGGTGGCACCCACCTTTAGTCGTAGTACTCAGGAGGTAGAAGCAAGTGAATCTCTGGGAGTTCAAGGTCAATCTGGTCTACAGAATAAGTTCCAAAACAGCCAGGACTACAGAGTAATACCGTTTCCAAAAAACAAAAAACAAAAAAGATTCCAGCACCTCCAAACACAATAGCACCAGTGGGGTGTAAAGGTTTAAAATCAATTTTACACTGTAGACAGGGAAAACCACCCAACTGAATTATTTGAAGCCAATATTACTCTGCGCAAAATAAAGACAATCAATCACAAATACAGACATAAAAACCCCTCAGGATATATTAATGCAATCAAGCAGAATCAAAGTGCATATTAATTATAATGCCATGACTCTGGAATGTGTCCCAGTAATTCAAAGTTGGCTAAATATCCCAAATTAACGCAGAATCAACAAGATTTAAAAAGGATGAAAATCAGATGATCTCAGTTAAGTATAGAGAAAGCTTATTTAAAATATCCCCAACTGCCCTTACAACTTGAGCCCAAGAGAATGGTGCCAGCAAAGAGGAGTGGGAAAGGTAAGGGCCATTCTGCTACCATCTGAAGTAGTGATCCAAGAGCACACCATCAATATTCCTAAGGGGCTTCAAGAAGCAATTCCCCTAAGCACTCCAGGTATTTTCCAGAAAGGAGATGCAGACTCTGTGTATACATATATTGCTATAATGCTTAATTAAAAAAAAAAGGACCAAAATACCAAAGGTATTCCATTAGTAGTATCTCTAAGAGTCATAAAAAAGCTGATACCTATATCCCTGTTGTTACCACAATAAAAAAATCTATATAAAATACCTACTACTATCGCTATATTTAATGTTCTAAGACTGGCGTTAAGAGAGAGGGTTGCCCAGCTTTGCCAATTCTACTCAACCCTCACTAGGTGTCCTGGACAGAGCAGTTACAAATAATTAAACATCCAGAGTAGATGAAAGTTAACTTTCAGTTTCTAGGTAAAAGAAAGTTATCTTTGAAAAAAAAATCAAAAGAAATATGTTCTAAAAATTAAAAACTAAATTTGAAGGCAAGCATGATAGCACATTGTGGGAACACCAGACCTTGAGCAGAGACCCACTTCCCCTTCTGCCTGGGAGTAGGCAGCTGTAAGACAATGTTTAGTAAAAACATGTTTACTAAAAACAATACAATAAGTTCCTGGCCACTTCCCCTTCTGCCTGGGAGTAGGCAGCTGTAAGACAATGTTTAGTAAAAACATGTTTACTAAAAATGATACAATAAGTTCCTGGGAAAGGCCTTCCCACGGAAACCGCCCTGACCTCGACCTTGTCCAAAGACTAACCGCACCTTCAAAAGCCCACACACACATCCACCTCTGGGGTCAGAGCAGAACCAGCCAGGGTAGAGGAGAGAGCAGAAGCTTCTCTGGTGGGAGCTTTTCTTAGGAAGTTTTTCGTGAACCTTTTTGGAGCCTGTTTAAAGTTTTCTTTATATCATTGAACGAGTCTCTGTGTTGTCAATCCCCGACACCCTCGGCACGTTCTCGGACACAGGCCGCGCAGCAGACGTGACAGCACATGTCTGAAATTCTACCACTTAGAAGGTAGAAGGAGAATCATCCTGGTCTATATGGTGAGCTTAAGGCCAGCCCAAGGTACTTGACACCTTGTCTCAAAAATAACTAGTCTGACTAGGTCACAAATACAAGATCATAAAACCAGTCAGGTAGAATAGCATACGTTTATATTCTTACCACTCTAAAGAGAGAATCAAGAAGATCATAACTTGAGGGAAGTCTGACCTATACAAGACATTGTGTCCAGAAAATAAATGAAACATAAGAAAAAATGCGTATCTATTAATTAAGACAGAAACTAAAAAAGTTGTTCTATTTACAGTAAATTGAAGACAACTTTAAAGAACAAGGAATGGAGGCACACACCTTTAATTCCATCACTCAGGAGGCAGGTAGTTCTCTGAGTTCAAGGACAGCCAGAGAATTTCATCTCAAAAAATCAAAAACGAAATAGGAAAAGGGGAGGGGAAGAAACAATCTTGCAGGAGACCCAAGTTCCTAACACCCATATCAGGCACTCATAATCACCTTCAACTCCATCTCCAGGGTATCTGACACCCTCTTCTGGACTCAAGTGCACACACCCCTCCTAACACACTTTTAAAGCCTTCCTTTGAATACTGAAAACTGAGACAATCAATGACATTGACCTAAGTGTATGAACAGACCAACTGCCTCAATTTAAATTCATTCTAAACAACTAGCAAGACCAATCATAATTGCTCAAAACAAGTGATTTCACCTCATTGTTCCTCTTTAAAAGAAAATAAACAGGGGCTGGAGAAATGGCTCAGGTTAATTAAAAGCAGTGGCTATTCTTCTGAAGGTCATGAGTTCAATTTCCAGCAACCACATGGTTGGTGGCTGTGGCTCACAATCATCTGTAATGAGATCTGGTGCCCTCTTCTGGCCTGCAGGCATTCGTGCACACAGGAACACTATTTATAAATAACAAATACATCTTAAAAAAACAAACAAGTCCTTTCCTTTGAAGCAACATTTGTTTGATTTCTAATTGAGCCTGTTTCCCTCAATTTATACATTTGATATGAAAATAAAAACCTGACTTTAGCCTCCTTTGTGATTTTGGTCTAAGACAGAGAACAGCAGCGCTCAAAGATTGTATTCACTTAGATATGTTAGATAGTTCTAATCTCACTTGAGATACTTATCTCACTAAGCCAGCTCTAACTACCTTTCATTGACAACTTCATTTAGCATACAAGGAATTTTGAGCACTGCATAGGTGCCTCAAAAAAAATTCAGGTCTTAAGGTTCTTAGTTTGCATTTCTATAGCCAGAGTTGGTACAAATCCTAGCTTTTCCTCAGACTGCTTCCCGAAGGCTTTACAGGGATTAGTTTCCAAAGAAATGGGGGAGAAAAAACAAAGATGCCTGAAGTTCACCATAACTAAGCTTTAACAAGATTACAATTCCCTAAGCAGATGATTTCCTAAAATCACGACACAGATAATGTAAAAGAGAAGGAACTAACCAAATAGGTAAAATGAAAAAAAAAAAACTAGAGCAAGATTACTGGGTAACTTTGACTTCAAACAAGCTGTGAGCAGGGAGTATAAATCTAATCTCAGTATTCATGAAGACCAGAAGAATCAAGAGATGAAGGTCATGCCCAGCTTGACAGCAAATTCAAGGCCAGGCTAGGCTACAAGAGATGGGTTTAATATGCACAAAGTTAATTCATGAATTCTGAATTTAAATTAGCTAAATGAACTGCCTATCAAACAATTCCATAATGTAAGCACTACTGTCATCCCATTTTACAGATGAGGAAGCTGAAGCAGGGAAGTAAAATTCTTCCGAGATTTTACAGTGAATTGGTGGAACCAAGTGGCTTCGACAAACTAACAAGCTTTAAAGTCATGGGACAGAACCCACCAGATCACTGAGCGTAGGGGCTGAAAGAGACATGACTCAACAGTGAAGAGTACTTGTGGCCCTAGAAGAGGACCTGGGTTCATGTCCCAACACCAACTTGGTAGATACACAACTGCCTGTAATATCAGTTCCAGGGGACCCACGCCTTCTTTTAGCCTTCACACACCAAGAACACAAAGTACTCTTACATGTTGGCAAAACACTTATGCTCATAAAACAATTTTTCAAAAATAAAAAAGTAAAAAGTCCCTGATAATACATTCCAACCACAAGTTAAGAGCTAACCTCTGCCTAGGTAACTTTAATTCACCAACCAATACAACCTCTCCCAGGGTAGCAATCAGGCCCAGAGTTTCATCTCCAACCCTGCCCCCCCCCCATCATCTCTCCCCTATTTTACTAATAAATAAGTGCTGTTAGGCACCATGCCAACGATATTATTTCTTAAGCTTTGCCACCAAATCCACTGTGCCCCACTGGTTCTATAAGGGTGTCCAAACAGGGTTTCTCTGTAGCTCTGCCTAGATCTGCAGATGAGGTTGGCCTTGAACTTAAGAGAGATCTGCATGCCTTGGCCTCCCAAATGCTGGAACTAAAGGCATGCAAGCCACGCCAGGTCAGCTTCTGTAGGTTTAACCAGTGTTGATTCAACATTTTATTCCAAAATAAATTACTCCATGGTAAAATGTGAATAGTTATCCAGTAGAACCAGGACAGAGTTTTTAAAGTACAGACTTACCTGTAAATATAATTTTACGTTTTAGTCTCTTCCACAAGGAGTATGTTCACACCTTTGATCCTAAGAAAAACAAAAAACGTTTTTAAGATTAAAAGGTAAACCTACCTTAAAGTAGTACTAAGAGCATACTAAGTTTACTAAACTGGTATTAGTTATGCTAAAAACAAAACCACTAAACTAGGGTAGTCTCTAAATAATCCCTGCCACCAGAATTCAAGTGCGCTTCTCCAAGTCCACTATTGTTCTATAATTCCAAAGCAAAAATACTTCTTAGCAATTTCGTTATTTTGGGTTGGTAAAAGAGAAGCCCACTGGGACTTACGGAAGCGGTTACTAAGACCTTAGCATGTCAACAACAAACTTAAGATTTCCCCTTAAAAGTAACACATTTAGCAATTTAAATGCCCACGCAAGTTCTACTGCTGGCCTATTGGAATGCACGCCAAACTCGCACACTTCACCTGCTTTTTCATTTTTCTAGGAAGACACTCAAAGTACCACAAATGCAAACTGCTTCCGAGATGCTGCGGGCCGCGACGCTCACACAGGCCTGGGTGGAGCGCAATGCAATGCAGCTGGGTCGCAAGGGCGGGGGGGCGGTGTTGGGGCGCGGAAGACGAGCCAGAAAGAAACCGAAAAACAAAACAAAGCTCTGCTTCTCCTCCCGAGACAGGAAGGAACGTGAAGCAGCAACACGACCGCCCGCTACGTCAGGCCAACAACCGCAGATCGCGCGCCCGCCACTCGCCGTGATCCCAGCGGGCTACGGACTTCCAGCGTCCCCTCGGCGGAGACGGAGGTAACGGAGACCCAGCCTGAGCCGCGATCGGAGAACAAAAGCCTGCTCCGCCGCAGACCTGTCGCCCCTCCGGCAGCTCACTCGCCTCTAGCACGGACCCAGGCCTCCGCCAAGCGCGCGCACACCGCGCCGAGCTTCGGTGGCGGCCTCCGTTTGGGCGGATCCAGCTGGCTCTGCGCTCCGCCCCCGAGCGTCTGCCCAGAGCCATGGTCCTAGTGCCGGGCAGATGCGCCTTCAGCAGTGTGAGGGGAGAGAGAAGCCTCCCCTACACCTGTAATTTGCACCACAATCACCTAGAGGGCTTCTAATGCAAAACTGCGATCGTGGGCGGAAATACAACTGATTCAATCGTTTGGGATGGGGCTGAAACTGCATTTCCGACAGGTTATAATTCTGTGAAGAAGAATCTCATAAGCAGTGATCTTCAGACGGGATGACAACATTTTCTATCAAGTATGTGAAAGAAAATGCACCCTCTGCTGGACTTAGTGGATCATGCCTTTACATCCAGCATTTGGGAGTGAGAAGCAGGAAGATCTCTGTGAGTCAGTGAGCCCAGCCTATCTAGAACTGAAGAAACAACAAACTTCATTTTGAGAAAAAGCCACCATTTTCATGTGTCCCAGAGCTGACTAGGCTCCGGCCAAGGAGCTATAAACAGTTCTAAGAAAAAACCACAAACTGCCTGCCTGAGTCAACCAATGACTACATCTGCTCACCCCAGATGTCCTAAATCACCTAGACCCCAGCCAATGAATTTAAAGGTCACACTCTTACCCAATCCTGAAATGCCAAAGCGTGTACCACCCTGCTTGCGATTTTTCCCTTTAAAAACCCCTTATCCTTCTGGCAGTGGCGGTGCATGTATTTAATCCCACCACTCTGGAGACAGAGGCAGGCAGATCTCTGAGTTTGAGGCCAGTCTGGTCTACAGAACGAGTTCCAGGACAGCCTCCAAAACAATAGAGAAACCCTGTCTCAAAAAAAAAAAAAAAAAAAAACAACAACAACAAAAAACCCTTACCCTAAGATCTTAGGGCCATTCTCCTTCACCTGCTGCATGGAAGTGTTTGGTTGACAGTCCAACCCATGAGTGTTTGCATCGAGCTTATAATCAATGAACCCCTGTGTGTTTCCATCAGTTTCTCTGTGGTGGCCTTTTTTTTTTTTTTTCTCGAGACAGGGTTTCTCTGTATTGTTTTGGAGGCTGTCCTGGAACTCGCTCTGTAGACCAGGCTGTCCTCGACCTCAAAGAGATCTACCTGCCTCTGCCTCCCGAGTGCTGAGATTAAAGGCGTGCACAACCAACGCCCGGCTTCTGTGGTGGTCTCTTGACTTGGGCACAACAGAACTAAGTGGGATAAATAGATGGCAGATAGGTAGATGGTTTAGATAGATGATTGATAGAAGATAGATTGTAGATAGATTGGTAGATGACAGATAGATAATGCTGAAGGTCTCTAACAAGTCCACACACGGCCAACATGGCACCAGCCCTGGGCCCTACGCCCTTTTGCTAAACCACTAGACTCTACACTAGACTCATTTGGCCACTTCCTCATGCCTGACTCATTCCTGGGGCTTACCACCAAGGGCCAGCTATCAAAGCATTTATTTGGCTAGACATGATCAATCAGGACTTATCAACTCATCCTATCATGGACTTCACTATTACTGAGCCACCTGCTGCTGTGTCTGCCTAATTCAGATTTAAGTTAAAGAATGAAAGGGGAGTTCGTTAAGAAACTTGGGTCAGGCCGGGTGGTGGCGGCACACGCCTTTAATCCCAGCACTCAGGAGGCAGAGGCAGGCGGATCTCTGTGAGTTTGAGGCCAGGCTGGACCGACAGCCCCCAAAACAATACAGAGAAACCTTGTCTCGTAAAACCAAAAAAAAAAAAAAAAAAAAAAGAAACTTGGGTCTTGGCTATGACTGCTCATTAGCCATACAACCTAGGAGAAATCATTTACTGTTGCACCCAAAGTCTGGATCCCACCACCAGACCAAGCCTGATGCAAAAGCAAGAGTCTTTATTCCAAGTTAACACCGGTCCCTGAGCAGTGAGGGGAGGAGATTTTTAAAGTGTGGAAGAGTTGGAGAATTCCAAGCCTGTAGGCTTGTGATTGGCTGCCCCCACCATGGTGTCAGGAGAATTACAAGTCTACAGGCTTGGGATTGGCTGCCCTCTCTAGGCTAAGGTCCAGAAAAAAAGTCATGGTACATATCTAAGGGTTACTACTTCCCTAGGCTTAAGATGTGTGGGGAGTCATACATTTAGACTATGTCCCTGGGCTGGAACAGTCATGCCTCTAGACTAGAGGTTGCTACTTCCCTAGGTTGAGGTCCAGAAAGTCATGCCTCTAGACTAGAGGTTGCTACTTCCCTAGGTTGAGGTCCAGAAAGCCATGCCTCTAGACTAGAGGTTGCTACTTTCCTGCTCAAGGATTGATTGGTTTTTCCTGCTCAGAGATTGGTTGGTTTTGTTTTAGGCCAGAGATGGCTCTGATTTCAGGGCTAAAGTGTATTTCTTTCTCTGGTTCTTTTTAGCTTTTAGGTTCCAATTTTAGGGCTAGGGCAAATTTCTTTAACAGGTTCTGACTAAGGGCAAAGTGTGTTCTTTTAGCTCTGGTTTCAGAGTCAAGTTGTTTTTCTCTGGCTCTGGGTTCAGGGATAAAGTGTCCTTTCACTGGCTCAGGTCCCAAATCCAGGGGGTGTTTCTTGGGGAGGAGGAGGGCTCAGGGACTGTGTTAGGGCTACAGGTCACAGATCTGCCGGGGCCTGGGTCTTTCATTACAAGATTGTAAGTTAGATACATGAATTAAATGCATATGCCTCTTTTAGACCAGCTGTTGCAACACAGTGTAGCCCACTAGCTGGAGACATAACTGCAAGGTCAAAGAGCCAGGAAAAAAACACCCTGACCCCGACTTGACCCCAAGCACAAGACAAAGGTCAAAGGGTTTGACCTCAAGCTCAGAAACTTGGAAATCCCCACCCCCACCCCAGTGACTCAGCCTTAATGTTTCTATCCTATACTTTCCCACTAAGCACATAGCGCATGCTCCAAAAAGCATATAAAGGCCTTCCCCTCCAGCCAGCCCTTTGCTGTCTCTTCTGTTGAGAGGTGGAACCCATTATGTTCTTCTCCCCAAGAAACTTCTTGTGTGAGGTTACATATTTTTATTACATGGTATTCCTTGGCTCCTAAGGGCCAAGATGCCCTTGTTTTGGAAAACCCTTACATTGCTTTTGTGACACCAATAGGCTCTCCTGGTGATCTGAGCCACGCTGGGACCCTATCTCTCATCTCCAGTCCACCCACACAAACTCACCTTCCAGCTCACCATCTCTCGGGGCATCATCCACCAGGTGTAATTCGGTAAGTTCCCCCTTTGTTCAGTTCCTGAGTCGGAGGAAGTGACTGCTGCGCCCGCTGCACAGCCTGTGTCGGAGAATGTGCGGAGGGTATCGGATTGGTGACACAAAGACCAGTCGGTGGTGTAAGAAGGCTCCAAGAAGGACCCTTTATTCTTACCCGGCTGCTTATATGCCCTGACACCAGAGGCAGCGGTTGGCGGGGAGGGGTCAGGAGGAGGCGTTTAGTCATTGGAAAAGGTCAAGGTCAGGGTGTTCCCGTGGGCAAGCCCTTATCAGGAACTTATTGCTCCGGTAAACATTTCTTACGGGCACCGTTTTGTTTTTAGTAAACATGTTTTTTTGTTGTTGTTTTTTTTTTTTTTTTTTTTTTTTTGGTTTTTACGAGACAAGGTTTCTCTGTATTGTTTTGGAGGCTCTCCTGGAACTCGCTTTGTAGACCAGGATGGCCTCGAACTCACAGAGATCCGCCTGCCTCTGCCTCCCGAGTGCTGGGATTAAAGGCGTGCGCCACCACCGCCTGGCTGGTAAACATGTTTTTTAGTAAACATGTCTTCTCTGTGGTCGGTTACAGTTGCCTGCTCTCAGGCTGATGGGGAAGTGGGCCTCTGGCCAAGGTCTGTTGTTCCCACAAGTGACCACTGAGCACCTGGCACTTCTCTGATACTCTTGGAGATGGATGTACCCCCAGCCACAGTCTTTACAGCTATGGCTGGCTGGCCCTCTTCACGGACCCCCATTCCCCCCATCCTCAGAGCTGCAAACCTGTGGCTTCCTTAGTCCTGACTGCTATTGTGACCTGTTACTGTCTTGCTCCCTTTTCTGCCTCCACATCGGAGCTACCCATAATCCCACAGTTTCTCTATGCCCTCATGGCTTTTATGATAGTTGTATTAGTTAGGGTTCTCTAGAGTGACAGAACTTATGAATCTCTCTCTCTCTCCACACACACACACACACACACACACACACACACACACACACACACACAAATTTACTGGAATGATTTACAGCCTGCAGTCCAACAATGGCTAGATAGGAATGGAAAGTGCAAGAATCTAGTAGCTGCTCAGTCGAACAAGGCTGGGTGTCTCAGCTGGTCTGCTGGAATCTCAAAGAAGGAATGGATGTGCCAATAGAGGTGAGGGCAAGCAGGGGAAGAACATCCCTTCCTTCTTCCATTGTCTTCCAACAGAAGGTGTGACCCAGATTAGTTATGCCTTCCTGTTGGGTCCGAGCCCCCACAGATTTCTGTGCATTGCTTGTCAGCTGATAGCTACAGGTGCATCCTGTTCTTTAGACCCAGCCTTGCCCACCTGATGTCAACATCTAGCACGAGGAAAACATGAGGTCTTACACCTGGGGTTTTTCCACTGTGCTGTAAGTCTGTATATAAGGCTGCTCACTCCTTACGGCACACTCACAGTCAGACATACAGACACGGCACATATACACACACATGCTCTTGCCAATAAAGGCGGCAGGTGAATTCTCTTAGCACAAACAGCCAGACGTCGTGTCTTTCATTTCCTGATACCTCGGATTTGTTCCTGGTGTGGACGCCACACTTTCCAACTTCAAGGTCTGGATTAAAGATGTGTGTTTTCCTGATTCAAGATTCAGATCACAATTGTGTCTTCCATTTCTAGATTATAGTTCATCCCAGATATAGTCAAGTTGACAACCAAGCCATCATGATAGTAATGTGACCTGTTTGTATCCCCATCCTTTTCCAGTGGATGAGACCTCATTCCTGAGGATGATTTTTCATTGCATTCTGGTAA